TCTCATTCATTCATAATGTTAGCTTGCTTACTTTACAGGAATACAGATACAATACTAAGTGGTCTAAATTACAATAATCATACCATTTCACCCACTGAATGAATACTGTCTTTGTTTATGGCTCAGCCAGATGAAATCTGAGTGTGTGTGTGTGTGTGTGTGTGTGTGTGTGTGTGTGTGGAAATGTGAGTACATGCATGCTTGTGCGTGCATACATCTCCATGGACGAGTAAGGGCAAGCAGATGGCATGTTGAAGCTAAGCCCACACGTGCCGTACCCTATGCATGCTTTTCGGTGACCCTTCACCTCTATCTGACTCCCATTCTTCAGATTCCACACGTTGCTCAGAGAGGTTTGGCCTGACTGTACAGGACACAACACGGACCCCTGTATTGACAATAGTGATACGCTCACTTCCTCTGAGCAGCAGCATTTGAAATCTCATCTCATCTCATTTCTGTATAAAGCTAAGTGCTAGTATGGTTACCATTATTTTCTTCTATTTTCTAGGACTGGTCCAGGGCATTTCACTATTATGTACACAACAACGTAGTGAACTCTTGCAACACAGTCCTGCAAGAAATACAATCACAGTAAATTTTGTAAATCTTTACAGCTGCAGAGTATTTGTTAAGCTCCCCATCACAACCATCATCCTCTGTTGTGCTCTTTGCGTCTTTTTTGATCTAGCACCCCTATTGGCAGGAATTTGTCTGTATGACCCATCCATTCACCCCAATCACCTCACTACTTTACCTGACTTCCTTCTTTGTTACTGTCATGGCCACTAAAGGTGGCCTAACAACAGCCTTACAATACATGTAAATATGGGTCGTAATGAGCTGCTTGAACAATCAACCTATACATCCGTTTTTCTGGTGAGGACGGGCTGAGGTTAAAAGTGTCTCCAGCAGTGACAAACACACACAGAGAGTTATCACCTCATTCTACAGTTCCTCTCAGTTTTATGAAAGTGTATAGCTTCTTTCAGCTCATTGTTTTGGTTATATCATCTGTACCTCCAATATTTTGGTCTACTCCTGACCGCAGATGACAGCTGCCTATTTGCCCAGGACCAAATGGTAAGCAGACAAAATTGCTAGTGAAAATAATGAAGCATTTAGCATAAAGAGAAAGATTTTGTGCCGCTATAACAGTATCACACAACTTCACACTCATTAGTCACATGACCGCAAAAGATCACTTATCAGGAAAAAGTAAGCACAGTCTCACTATTCCCTATGTAATCAACATTAAATAAGTGAGAAGTAATATGAGATTTAGAAATCACTGACTGGTGTAAAGTTGTATAACTGTAATTTATACATAGAAAAAGGGCGAATCATTGCAATGTGGAGTTTTTAGAAAATAGTAGAATTAAAAAAACAGCCATAAAGCAATGGAAAGTAAATAGTGTAATAAGCAGTAAAATGGGAAAGATTTCTCATGCAACCTTTGTATTTAAGTATTACTGTTCATGACAAAATCAGTCCAAGTTTTGTTGGTGACTGTGTTTCCACAGGCAATAGAGAGGGGCAGATGTTCCTGCTCCCACAGAGGAGGCAGCAATTAGGCAAATGTGACAGGTAACAAATGGAGATGTCACAGCACGTGAGTGAATTAATTAATAGCTGATCTAAATATGGCTTCACACCCCTGCGTTATGTGGTTCATGACGCAGGACAGGGAGATTTAATTCTATTGAACACACTCTTAAGAGATGTATGATGGTACATTTGTGTGTGTGTGTGTGTGTGTGTGTGTGTGTGTGTGTGTGTGTGTGTGTGTGTGTTTGCCCTGATCTTGAACATCAGTGTTATAGGCTAGGAACAGCTGAGGCTGAGGCTCTCTCTCCTCTCTGCCCTACTTGTGTTTTTTCTTTCAGAATGTTGGAAACTCTAGAGTACTTATCTTGTATTCTATTGGGTACTGTGTCATGTTAGAGTGTTGTTTTTGTGCTATTCCATGCTTCTCTGCTTTGGAGGTCACAGAGATTTAAGCACTTTGAAAGCACTGCTCTGTGCCTGACCTAGTTTTATTGAAATTTCCCATTCTCTGCAAAAGAAGTGGCAGTTTTAGGCATCTGAAATTGATGTTGGCTTTGTTTCAGAAGTAGGAAGAATAGAAAGTTGAGTAGAGCGTTCATTAGGTAGCTGAAGTTGTAGGAACATTAATGATTAACATTTTTGGGTGGATAAATATAGATGGCAAGAACATTTCAAAGGAAAACTAATTTTTTCTGTCATTTTCTTTAAATTATCATGTAAAACTGTTCCACAGTAATTGCATCATTCCCTCAGGATATTCACACCACTAAGAGCTAAAGCATAACTCATGGTGCTTCTAATATAAGACCACACTCTGTTTTAAATACACTGCTTAAGAAGCAGAGCTACCCCGAAATAGCAGCGAAGAAAATCTCCTCTCCCTTTATCTGGCCAGAGGCCCACCTTCAGGTCTGGATCTTTAACCTTCAGAGACTGCTGCTGCTGCTGATGTGGCTTGGGTTTGGCTGAGCTGAGCTTGCTGGGAAATCAACCAGACAAAGACATGTGGGTAGATGAGCAGAATGAAGATTTCAACTGTGCTCAAGTGTTCAAGTTTCCCTTGGAAAAAGAGGATATTGTTTGGATGGAATGGGTATATGAATTGGTTGTGGAACATTGCTCGTGGTGTGAAACAGCTGGCTTCTACAAAAGGGTAACACAAATAACTGAGTAGCTACCAATGAAAAAGTTGAACTGCTAATTAATAAAAAGAAAACAGGCAGACTTTAAATTACTCGAAAGGATTTTAATGTATGTCACTTGTTTATAAATTAGTATTTAATAATAAGTTCCTAGACATCTGCATACTGACCAGTCTCGTACCTAACCAAATCCACCCACCAGCAGACCTAAAGCACTTAACATATTATATCTAGTTTGTTTTATCTAAGCTTTAGATGTAGGCAGATTTCTTGACCTTTGGACAGGGTCACACAGCTGTAACCACCTGTTTCCAGTCTTGCTAAGCTTAGCAAGTAATCGTCTCGTGGCTGCAGCTTCATATTGAACAGACATGAAGGTGGTATGAAACTTCTCATCTAACTCTCGGCAAGAATAAGCCAAAGTCTTTATAGGCAAGCAGGCAACTCGGCAGCCATCTTGGCATAGCCTCCGAACAGCTATTTCGGACTGAAAAGACCAGGCTCCCATTTGAATGAATGGGGAGAGAGCCGGAACTTGTCACCGGGACATAAAACCGTTTATACTTCTACTACTCATGCATCACTACTACCATGCATGCGCATTAGAAGAATAACAGACCCTTACATCAGCGGAACCACATGATTGGCTGAAATATGTTTCCTGCTTTGCTGTTAAAAGCAGACGATTGGCTTTCTAGTGTTATGGGCTTTCCACATAGTGTTATATAGAGAGGATGTGATTGAGTGGCGTGTCTCGCTTATTTCCCAAGATGTCAAACTCCTCTATTAATATCGCTTCTTATCTGTATTCAGTTGTCCCTGGCTCCCTGACATTCAGTCCCAGCAAAATGATCCCTGAACAGCCATAGAAACAAGAATAAATCTGTGACAACAGATTCTAACTTCTGTTTCTCAGTTCAACTTCACTTCAATTTCAACTTCAAAGACAGTTTGTTGAAAACATGCAACTCCATGTTGAACTAACATGGTGGAATTAATTATTTTTCCTTTGTAATGAGAATCAAAAGCCTGTCTAATTCTGCTTCTTTGTTCGGTCTACACATGCTCTGTGAGAGAGGCTGCCTGGTTACAGTAACGTTAGAGACAACCTTATTGTCTGCATCACTCATTGTCCCCTGTTCTTTCAGGATAGCTTTGTGTGCTGGCTTCAGTGAAAACAAGTACACAACAGTTTACTTTGACTTATATTCAAACAGTCAAAATAACCTGATTCATCAGGTGAGTCAGATCTTGTTATCTCATGTGGCTGTAAGATGCATCTGCTCTGTAAACCCATTGTTTCAGAGATAAAACTAAATTTGTTTTTTGATGTATAATATAATATAATCATAAATATATGTTTGTGTTATAACAATCACCTTTATCTTTAGCTAAACATACCTGAATTCTCTTTGTGTTTTGAGCTCATTTAATCCAGGGTATAGATCTGCAATATGAGGGGGTGACTTTGACTGGAGATACAGAGCTTTAACTTTTTTAAGTTTTGTTGCCTAACCCTAACCAAGTAATTTCACCAGCATGCTAAATTTTACTTAGGCGTGTGCACTGCACGCAATTTGACAGTGTAAATCGTGTTATTTATACGCAGATTGATGAGACCAGGTTGTGTCTGGACATGTCCCAAAGTATGTGGGGATCACAGATACAATCTAAGAGTGGTTGTAATAATAGTCATAATTTTGTAAGTAACATACTAATTTATGACAGCTCTTCGTAAAAAGCTGTTATTCACATTCACTCCTGGACTGGACAAAGAGCTGTTTCTCCAGATGTGACTCATTTCCTCTTGTGTCTCTGTGTGCCAACGTGCAAACATACTTAACTTGTTCAAAATCTATCAACCTGACTAAGAACAGGTGCAGCAGCTGGCACAGCGCATGGGAACAAAATAATTCCAAAATATTTCCACCTGCAGCATCCACCTCTGATCTGATCAGCTATTCGTGGTAAATGTCTGTAAGTTCTTCAAGTGTGATCAGCTCATAACAGATTCAATTGATTGTTGACTTGGCTGACAACAGTACACAGTTGGCATAGTTTTATAGCAGCCCAAACACAATAATTGTTCCTTTTTCTTATATCTGATATTGAATAATGCACAATAGATCAATATGAATACCCATAGCACCAACACATGTTCCATTATGTAGGCTTCCGGCTTGATTAAAGAACTTGGCATCTGATCATTTTGTCACTAAGAGACACATCAGTCTGTGAAATCTGTTGTTTTCTGTTGCCATTATTTAAAAATAAGTTGGGATTAGTCTTTCAGTGTATTCACAGCCTTACCAGAGCTTTGGTCTCCTCCTCGTCTTTGTAATAGTAGAGCTGGTCCCCTCGCAGAACAAACCAGCGACTGTGCCAAGTCTTGACAAAACCTCCTTGCTTCCTGAGCCACCCACACCTGATGACACTCAACCGTCCCTGCCTCTGGATCTCTGTGCTGGGCTGAACTCCATTGCGCTGGGGACTGCCGTGGGACACACACTGGTCGTCCATTACAGCAACTCTAACCTGCAAAAAGGCAAAACAGTTTTTATCTGTTTGTATTTACAGAAGTTCCAAGTAGGCAATAGGTAACCAAATACTTTCTGCAACAAACAGATGATGACAAATTCTTAAATGCTCTCCTTCCAAACTCAGTACTGATATTCAGGAAGAAAAATTATATAGAAGTGGAGTGACTCTTCAGCCAAGTCCTAATATTCTGCAAGATTTCAAACAATAGAGAGATTAACTTGTATGTTAGGGAGAGTGTATTAATCACAGAACTCACAGTCACCACAGTCCAACACAAATGCGACAGCAACAAGTCTGTTCATTTAAACTATTCCTTCAGTTAATTTAATGAAAACCATTGTTTTCCAATAGAGTCTGTGGGTTTTTTCAAATGTCAGTTTCAATTCTAACAAATGATAACCTGTCTTTCCCCTATCTGCGTGGCTAGAAACAACCTGTGGTTTGGACGTACCAACTCTGTCAGAGGGATGGTTGGCTAATTTGCTGTGGTTTGCAAGTTGTGGAGCATTAAAGAATTTGAGATGGACAGAGTTGAGTTTTGCAAAGGCAGGAGGGGAAATGTGGGAGGAGGAATTTATACGCCAGAAAACAAGACCAGAGGCCAAACCTCTACTCCCTTTTATCTATTTCTTGTGTCAAACACCTACATATGTTGGTTGGCCTGCCAGTCTTTCCCTTGCCTCACTGTAACATTTTGTCTTTTTGTCGTTTTGAATCCTCAACCTTTTGAAGTTTTACAATTAAAATAGATTACATCTAATCAAATGCGACAAAAATCCTTAGCTGCACCTAAAACTTTCACACGTGCGTACAGGAGTGCAGTCACAAACACATGTAATAAATCAACCTACACATATTGTTTCCATGAGCATGATAGATTGTTTAAACATGTGCATCATTCACTGACTATGCTACTACTCGGAGACTGCTGCAGTCAGCTTTAAGCATTGCCATGTTATCAGTGGCTCTCGTTGAGCTTGCCTTGGTGGAAGTCCAAACAGCCCGCAGGTCCAGATGAGGACCAGATGCGGCCCAGTACTGTTCCAGGCAACAGTGGAGCAAGTGCAGCAAGGCTGCTGTGGTGATTTCAAAAAATTCTGTGGATCCATGCACAAGGACGTTAGTGAGTCCTGTTTGCATGTGCATGCAAAAACGTTCTCTAGGAAAACAGTAGTTTTTACCTTGTTTTGCATTGTGGAGGCCATAAACTACTTTTTTTTATCTGTTGTCTTTCTCTACTTATGGTTGCTCCGCTTTTGTGCTGGAGCTATGTAGGGGGGGAAAGTGGGCAGTGCTCAGCAGCAGTGAAAGCTATCATCTGAGCTAAGTTTATTCAAGGGAAAATTCTTTATTGCGTGGGATCATTTAACACTAATATTGGATGGAATAACCTCTCTATCCCTGCTGCTTCCTACATTCTTGATTCTCTTAGTTTAAAAAATCTGTAAGTACACACATGAACACACACACACACACACACACAACATAAATCACAGTCTAGGGTCGATACACCCATCTGTTGATGGAGTCACCTGCTGTGTTGCCAGTCTGGTGCCACATCCCCTTTACAATTTCATGCCACCTGCACTGGGCGTAGTTAACAGTACTGCTGGGATTGGCCTGTGCTGCTGCAAATTGAAATAGTAAATAACTCAGAGGTTTCTTAATGTGAGTAACGTGGTGCCGGCTGAGAGTAGAAACAGTATTTAAAATTTTCATTACACTGTGGTCTAGTCCAGAGGTAATAAATTGCCATACAGGGATAGAAGGCATAATCATTACTAAATCTATAAATCAACAGACAAATGGAGTAAGATAAATAGAAAAGTTGGAGGTTCTTTGGCCTATGCAGGAACAACATGATGAATTGTGACCTTTAGAAGGTACTCATTTTAATTTTTATGGTTCATTCTATAAGACATTTCTAACATAATCATGGTGAAATTATGTGTAAACAACAGGCATAAGTAATGAATCCTAAATTCTATGCACAGTATAGGGTGGCCATAACTTTATCAGAATTTTTGTGAAGCAACAATCCAACTAGGGCTAAAGGCAAGGTAGTTGACCTGTTTTTCAAACCTGGATTTTATTTTTATTTTTTTGCAGACACTTCTCCAGCGAACCTTCTGATGGTGCCAGATGTGGTTTACATTTGTGACACAACTGCAAAGTCTCTGCAAGAACGCATCCTTACCTGACTTTTGTCCACTCAGCACATTGAAAGCAGCCTCCCAGAGGTGCATTCTGTGTGTGCAGGTGCATGCAGGTACTGTGTCTTTTGTGGCAGTAGTGTCTCTTTACCGTGAGCCTCATTCTCGACATAAGCAGAGGAACTATATTGATGATTTCTTATAACAAAGAAATAGGATATGTAATTTACAAGGCAGTCTGAAAGGTAGATTTAAGAAAAAGGAAATTTTATCTGTGAATCACAGAAATAGAGATATAAATGGTTCCTAAGTTGCAATCTATTTCCAAACTAATGCCCAATAAATAAGTTCCTTATTCAAAAATTGTCCATACAAGTGTTACATTTCAAATTAAGCAAAAGTTGTATTCAAGCACACTAGAGGAGAAGTAATTTTGGGATGAAACTCCCAAAAACTCCCTTTAAATGCTAGACACAAAAGTAAACATAGTAAGAGCATAAACCCCAATGTTCTTCTTTAAGTTTGGTGATCAAGTCTGCTCTCTAGAATAATGAATATGACAGTATGAAGGAGCATTTCATTTTCAATGCGACAATTAACACTCTGCATTACCATCTGTTCGTGTCTAGTAACACTTGCTTCTGTCAATGAACGTTCAAGATATCTTGAGTTTAAGAATATCCCAGAATTTTCTCACAGCACGCCTGAGAACTTTCACCATACTAAGAAGTCTGTGGGAAGAGACACCCTGACCTTCACTATAGACAACAACAGCTCCACATACAGCACAGACAGCCACACACACACAAACAAACACACACATACCACAAACACACACTGTACACTCGAAAGGACAACACAAAGATAGTCACGAATCAGCCCCCTAAGGTTTTGTGGCATGCACTATAATTTCTTAGCAGGATGTAACTGTGGCTCTGTGGCAGTCAAATAAAAATTAATAAATTCAGAAGAAATGAAGGAGGGAAAAAAGGGCTGGATTCGCATGGACTCCTTTGACGGGTACAAATCTTTCAAACCACCATTCGTGTTTGTCTCCATTTCGGCACTGAGGTATTAGTATTCTCTGTCGGTCTTTGTCCATCTGTAAAATGGATACTGAGCCAGGCCATCTCAGGATCAGGGACGCCTTGTTGTGGTTTAAAAATATGCGTTTGTCAGTGTAATAATAAAATACACTACTGGACATGTCTTAAGTGATGAAAACTGATCTCAGAGCAGCCAAAGACACAGGAATTGTACAATAAATCATTTTCAATAGTTTCCTAGGACACAACTATTTGATGTAAGCTGATACTTTTGATTATGAACTTGACAGTATGATAAAAAGGGGTCCTGTGTTTTGTAGAGTGGTATGGGATGACAATTAACATTATACCCTTACAGAGAGGAAATAAGGATATCTAGAGGTCTAAACAAGGAAGGATGTTTGATGAGCTTGTAAAATCTCTGATATTTGATGCTGCAGACCTTGTCCCTACAGGACCCGTCTCACAGCATCAGGCGGTTGGTAGTTTTCAGTGCTTACACAGACTGTTTGTTCCCCATATGGGAAAGTACTGAAGCTAGCAGCACACAGAAAGCCTGAAATGCTGTTTGACACGTCTTTGTTTGAATTGAGCTGGTTTGGAGGAAAGGAGATTGAGGCCTTAATTTAGTCTGTCTCATCCTTTGGGAAATTAAAGTAGTGCTTGGGAAGATTTTTTGGGGGTAAAAATACAGCAGAGTTACTGAAATCATACATTTTGCACTGCAAAAAAGAGGAGCATTCAATTCCCCCTAATTGAGACTTTACAGACTTTTGCCCAAACGGCCAAAAATGTTGGTGTCGGGTAAGGACAGTGGCAGGAAATGTTCTGTGACCACAGGAAATGGCCGGTCACAGCAGCAAGGGAGCACTCTGTCGAGGGAAAATTGGACTCAACAAACTTAGATCTCCTGCCTTTCCCACCCTGTGGCTGCTATAGCATCACAGGCAGAAATGGTAAACATGAATGTACTACAATGATTTTTACGTTGTCATGTGACATGATTTCCCAGTTTTCAAACCATTTTGTTAACCTTTGCCTCACTTTTCACTGTTGCTATGCTTTACAAGCTTTCCATTCTCGCATAGCACATGATACCGGTGTAAGATTTGTAAATTAAGTAATGTTTGAAATTATTGATTTCAGACAGTCGATTCTTTGGCTGAAATTACAACTTTTGCTAGCAGGTTGATATAAGATATAAACCCTTAATTTACAAAGGTATATAGGAAATCTAGCTCTACATCCTAACTCCCCACAGCCTCTCTGATGCCCAACCTCCCTCTCGCTCCTCTCTATTAATATTTTCACATTTAACTAAGGTTTTATTTTAACTAAACCAGAGCTGGTGATTGTTGGAACAGTAAAAATACAAACCACAATGGCTTGGTGAGTTTTATTTTGTTTCTGTCGAGTTTAAACAAAGTACGATGATCTGCAAGATAAAATAACTGTATTTGTCAATGGAGTCTTGTGGCTTGACAAGAGCGACATAACAGCTATTTCTGGTTAAACAAAAAGGTCCTAGGTTCCTTTCCACAATGTTGTCAGACACTTATTATAACAATCTGAGCCTGTCAAAGGCAAAAACAAGCACTTTTAGTGAACAGACACTGAAGGTGCACTATTGCCTGGAAGGATTACATTGCAGCCATGTTTTGCGGCTACCAGCTGCAGTGCTCTTGCTCAATACTAGACAAATTCAAAAAAACATTGTCCCTTATACACAAAAACATGGGAAAATACGGTCCAGTTTGAAAATAAACAAGGTTTCTCTTTTATGATTCACTGATGAATAGCAAGCATGAATTCTTTATTCATGTTCATTAACATATGGCCGACGGTGCCATTGCCATCTGTCTGTCTTCAGTCCTCAGTGTTACATTTTCACCAGCTGTTGAACTCCACATTGGCCCCAGTGCTTGCCAGTAAAGCCTTTCCTTGTGTCAGCTTTGCTTGGATGATGCAAAGGTCAGTGGGGCATTAAAAGTCACAGTAGAGGGTCAAAACAGTGCAACCACTCAGTCTTATCAAATCTTATAAAACTAGAATTACTATCTATCAGTTCAATTCAATTCAATTCAATTCAAATTAGCTTTATTGGCATGAATGTGTAACAACAATATTGCCAAAGCATCATACAAACTACAAAAGAACAATCAACCCCATCTATCTATCTATCTATCTATCTATCTATCTATCTATCTATCTATCTATCTATCTATCTATCTATCTATCTATCTATCTATCTATCTATCTATCCAGCTGTCTGTCTGTCTATAAGGCAAAAGATAAATTATCTCTGTTCCTGAAAAATCCTCTTCACTATCAAATGTCTCTCTCCTCCAGTACACCACCACAAAGATGCCAGTAAGATTGGTCATTGGTGGACACACAAGATGTGACAACTTTGTTGCATATGCAAGTCAGCATGTTTGACAGCTGATTAAATCCACCTGGTAAGGACATACACTCTGTCTGTGTTTCATTAGCAACCACCATTCAAGGCTAATTCAGATCAAAGCCTATTCATTCGACCAAGTCTCTCGTTTGTTTGTGTATGTGCACAAACAACCATCGTACCCTGCTAACCGCAAACAGACACACAAAAAAAACACAATAAAACATGCAACAGAGAAAACATGAACTTCACATCTCCAGTCAATGCTGTCAACCCTGTAAATACCCCTAAGCAACCTCCCCCCTCAAAGTCTGCACAGTAGGGCCTCCATGACCCACATGTGTTAAAGACAAATATAACCCGTCGTTACCAAAGCTGCTACCTCGAGAGCAGTCTGTTTCTGCCACAGAGGTGAGAGGAGGGCATGCTTCTTGCTGTGCTGTTGCAAGTTGTTGAAGAGGATGTGAAAGAGGAAGGGCTTCAGAGTGGTCACAGAACTACTCACTCCCTGAGCCATTGCTTCATCTAACATATGCACAAGTCAGGTCTATCATGATTTAATGCTGAAGGGAAACTATCCTTCATTATGGTTTAGATACATAGTCCATGATCAGTCACTACCTACTACAATGGCAGAGAAATAGGTGGATGGATGGAAGTAGGAAGAGAGGAAGGGAGGTGAGGGTGGGAGATATAATGTATCACAAACATCAACAGGATTGCTTCTTGGAGATACAAGTTCCTTTTGCTCCTTTCTGCTGGAATGCCAAATAAACTCGCTGGCTTTCCTGTATGAATCAGTTTTATGAGTCAGTGTCTATTTTGTCTACACACCAATTTAGACGCCATATGTGGCCCCCTTCATGGTCTACAATGCAGTGCTTTTGGTATGATACACTCGTTACCCACTCACTAGCATCGCTGCCCCTCCCTCTCCATTTTCCTCTGCGCCATGTGTCACAGTATGTCTGAGTACAGAGCGGCAGCCCTGTGGAGAAGGGTGAAGATTTCACATTGGCCTCTGACTCATTCTACACATGTTTGACAAACTGTTTTAACTGAATGAAAGATACTGTTGATGTGGCTATCCTTTTGTAATGCAGCAATGTGAAAACAGGGGGATATTTTCTAGAAAAAAACAAGATACAAGATGTTACAAAGTGAGAGGGGGGATCTGAAAATGACACCTGTGATCATAGTCATTTCCCCCAGAGATGTTGTTTGCTCTAGAAAGCTAAGCCAACTCTGCATTTACACCGTCATAAATGTCGTCCTTATTATAGATTCTCTAGGTGAACTAGCCAGTGTCAAGTTTAACAGATGTTAAAGGAGTAAAAATAAAAAAAATAATAAAACAAAATAAAAACACTTCAGTTTCTGTACAGTTTATACAAATTAGATATTAAGTGTTTACTAGTGAGCCTTATAGGTGCTGGTATGAAGATTTTGTTACCCATTTTGCTAGCGGTTTCCCCCTGTTTCCATCTCTTTCCGTCTTTGTGCTAAGCTAAGCTAACAAGCTGCTGGCTGTAACCTCATATTAATTGAGCAGTAATGAGCGTATTCTCATCTAACTGTCTGCCAGAAAAAGCACAGGTTTTTCTCAATATCTCAAACTATTCTGTTTAACGTGCTGCAGTTTCAGTCCTCCTTGTCTCCATCCATTCCTCTCTCTCAAAAAAACAGTATTAGACCTGGGAACAGAAGAGTGCAGCAGCTGACACTGGGAACCTGATCCCTGGGCTTTCCAGCAGCACAGCTTGTGCACTGCAGCCATTCCTGGCACACGGGGGTCATCATATCTTCCCTCCTTGTGCCTTGTTTGCTTTCACATCTACCTTTTACATTAACACATCAGGTGGGGGGAACAAGTTGTGGAGATATGTTTTCTGCCCTCCCTGGCATTTTTTATCAGGCCCTCCCTGTCCTGTCCTTGTCATGCTTTCATTCTTATTGTTTGAAATATTTTCTCATTGTCCTTTTCTGATTCCTTTTCCCATTGTTTTATAATGCTGTGATCAGTTGCAGTCAGCAACCCTGCACAACTAGCACCTTAATCCAGACATAATTGAGTTTTCTTCTCTTTTTGGCCAGCTGACAGCCAGACAGGGGGTTGTTGTTTTGGATGGCACATGCAACTGTCATGGCCATCTGTATGTCCTGCTCCAGAATTAGGGAGCCACTGCAAGATTTTGGTCTGACAGAGTGACAGTACAATAAATTCACTTGAATTTTAATCAAGTTAAACCTTACCTTAAAAGTATAACAATTATGCTTTCTAGCTGTTCAACAGCAGTCACTTAAAGAAAAATGGTATTTCAGTTATGTTACAGGCTAACAATGTAGTTAATATACTTTAGACAAAAGATTGTTGTCATTTTCACAGTATGTTTCACAGATTCGCAGCAGGCCCACACACTGAAAGGTATGCACTTATTTCCTCTGGTGCATTTTCACTCCAATATCAACATAACTGTAACCCCTGGTAACACAGCTGGAGGAGTTGTGTCGCTAGTGTAACACATTGGCAATATATCACATTCATCTAGTGATCTAATCCATTTGAAAATGAGTGATGCTGGAAGTTTGTAAAGCTTATTCCAAAAAAAAACACAACCATTCAGTCAAGAAAAGCACCAATGTATCTTATCATTGTTCAGTAAATTCAAGGCACTTGCAGACCTACTCTGCTTGTGGGATTATATGTGTTGCACATAAATGAAACACATTGATGGAAAATATTAAACAGATCCAGAAACCCCAAAACACCACTGAATGTCATAGCTAATACTATCCACTGCTATGCTACAGAACGTGCTGCTACTACTGCAATTGTATATAAATCTCCAGGGATACCTGCCTAAAATGTAAATTTACCTTAAAGTATCACTCAACTCTTCTAAGACTGGTCCATTCAGCCAGACCATTTGCCTACAGAATCTTCACATTCTGATTACCAAAGTGTGCAGAGATATGTGAATATGGCTCAAGAACAATGGGTACATTGCCACAAAATCACCAAAATATAACAATACAATAATAATCCCTCAGTGGCAAAAACATACTATAAAACTGTACAACCTCAAACAGAGAGACTCACCTTTCAAATAAACAGCCTTGTTGAATCTCACAGCTCTGACGTGTAGCAATGCACAACTATTGTATTCAATCCAGTGACAGGTAGTCATTCAACATCAACAGAAATCCTGTGCTGAGACGAGCTCAAGTTGCACACCAGCTCAGCTGCTGCTGCTGCTGCTGCTGCTTCTGCTGCGGCTGCGGCTGCTGCTGCTGCTGCTTCTCTCTTGAACTAACTCAGTGTGTGCAGAGTGGATTGAGTTAGCTGAGGCTCAGAGGAGCTGTTACAAACTTTTCCCCTGACTGCTCACACCATCTGCATGCTGAGAAAGTCTCCGCTGTGGACAGGATGGCTGTCGCGGTCAGCACAGTCACACATGGGGCACCATTACAGCGAGAGTCCGCCCAGACACATGCACACACACACACACACTCACACACACACAAACACACACTCTATCCCAACACTGCAGCCTATGCAATCCTAAGTCCTCCAGTCATCCTGGCTGGTGAGACGATCACATTCAGTCTGAGAAGACCGTGTGTGTACGTTGGTGACAGAGAGGAGGGAGGAGAGAGGGAGGGGGAAGGCGTGTGAGTGTGTGTGTGTGAGAGAGAGAAAGCATGTTTTAGGAAGTCTCAAGATCTCTGAGCAGCAGTGCAGCTGACTTTCTTTTGTATTTCAGATTCTAGAACAAGCAACTGGCAGTTTTTAAACACCCACTGTGTTCCAGTCTTACCATAAGTTCCAAACTTTGCAGTGGTTCGTAATGTGAAATAGAAATCCTGGATTTCCCATTATCATCTGTGAATAATCCAGCATACAAACAAGGCTGCCCCAGTTTTAAGGTGTCTTCGAGATGACATATACAAATGACTGCGTGCATGCAGCTCGACAAACATTTATTTAGTGACACTAGCCTCACTTTGGTGCGAGCCCAGCTGTATATACATCAGTGGAAAGTGCATCTTGTTTACATGGGAGTGGTCTAAAATGTCTTCCTATTACATACTCTTGCAGTGGTCCCTGCTAAAGAACTTGTCTGCCTGAGTAAAGGACTATTTTTCTTTTTGTATGTAAGATACACAAACAAATATGTTTAATGTGTGAGACAAATGGCCTTTACACTGTAGCTGCAGTTTCAGCAAATTACTTTTTATAAACTGAGGAATTCTGACATGTACAGTACAATCCAGCTCAATTATTATATCATTGAGCTCCTTATTGACTCCTCACAACCTGCTTAATCTGAAATGAAATATAATATATATTATAGATAATTATAAACCAAAAGCAAATATGGTTTGAAAATATGTGTTGGATTCCCAAAGAACTATATACAAAAAGAAAAGGTGGGACCCAAGTGTACAACACCAACAGGAAGCTTTAGTAAAAGTAACAGTGCAGTTTACTTAAATTTTCCAGATCTAGCGCAATTATGAGATCTTGCTTGAAGTGGAAACACACAGATGACACACCGAGGTAGACTGGCAAAAATCCTCCACAAAGAATGAGAATCTGAGGCAGAAGAAAAAAACAGTCAGGCAAATCTTTGTCAAAGGAAAGAAACCTAACAAACCAAACACTGAGAACTGACGACCTGGCAAAAAAACTGAGTTTAAATGCAGAAGAGCTTGATTACTGGGATGTGCCTCAGGTGCACAGGTGATCATGGGCGGAGAGTCAATTGGCTGACCTGAGACAAGTTGGAAAGCCACGCCCTGACACACACACACACACACACACACACAGAAGACAGACAGGGGAACCAAACAGAAACACAAGGGAGGGAGGGAGGCACAGCAGAAGCACAAGGAAACAAAAGGTTGGTTGACATTTCGATGAAGAGGCTTAAGAATGGAAAAAGGAGGTTTATTTTTCATAAATTGTTTTATAAAAGACATGGATAAAAACAAAGCAAAAAGGTGTACTAAGAATCAGAATATTCACCACCAAAAGATTTTTCTATTTTCCTATCTATGATATACTGAAATGGCCAACATGCAGGCTACAATTTATATTATCGCCACACGACAGATACAGAACCTCTACACAATATTAATGTACCTCTGGCACGTGTCAGCTCCGTGTCATTCCCTGGCCCTGGAAAATGTCCTCAATAATGAGGGAGGGAAATTACAATCTATATGGGAGGTGGCTGATATGTCAACAATAATTGCTTCCTCAAAATCAAATCAGGATGAGAATTAGTTTATTTACAAACTCATAATATAGAATATGAGAACAGGGGGAAATCTGACTGGGGTAGTGTTGTGATTATGACTCTAGAAGAGCTGGTTGAGTATAAGGTGACGGAGGAGTTTCACTGCGGTGTTGAATGTGGAGGAGGTAAAGTCAACATTCAAGATCCTGGTTGGTGTTATTGAGTTGTTAGAGGGTCTAGGCTGAACACATTGCTTATTGATCTGTTTGATCTATAGGCACACTGCGCAGTGAGGCAGGAGTGAGGTCGCTGTCACATTTGGACCTTCAATTAGCATCTGTCAAATGATTGATCAAAGAGGCAGCAGCGGTACATGAATCTGTCCAAAGCTTCTAACAACCCCTTCTCTGAGGACACAGAACATGATTGGAGTTTGAACCTGTCTGGCACTTACTCTGGTCAATATGCATATTTTCTGCAGCCATCCTTACGAGACTTGCACCCTAAATGCAACTTATTGGATAGCACTGGTTATTCTGACTTTGGTACAAATGCTGTGACCCAGGCTCGCTCATGCGCAGTAACCATTAGGCGTACTTGGTAGAACACATTTTGCTGCAGAGTCTCTCTTTGTTACTTTTTGTTACCCTATATGAAATGTTGTTAAGAAATTTAATGGTATGTCATTAAAATAGTAATTTTTTACACTTATTTGCAGCTGTGCAAACTGAGAATATAGTAAAATCCTTTCCACTCAATAAAATCTAATCTCCACACAGAAGGTGAGTTTTCTAGGCGTTATGAAAAGCCTCATTAGATAAGACGGAGATTAAATGAAATGTTGACACTAAACAACAGTAGGCTCTGAGCCATCTGTCCTCAGCCATCCCTCAGCATGTGTTATTATATTTGAAGGACGTGGAATGCAGAACATGAAACACTGTGACCTTGTGACGTAAGAAGTGGCCATCTGTAAACAAACTGGAGTATTATCTACTCCCAAGAGACACTCTGGGGGATCTTATCTGATAGGAGATAACTCATAAGATTAGAGTGGGTGAATCTTCACAGAGAAAGCCTCTGGGAATTAGAATGTTCTCAATAGGACTGCTGTTCTCATGGCCTTGTAGTCAGAGGTTTTGAACACTTGGTGACTTCTGGAAAGAGTATGAAAATCTTTGGAGGACTGTGGCAGGCAGACAAAGTAAACTCTTTATTATGATTATATGATATAAGGCCATCTAATATTGCTGTATTAATAAGAAGTATTGAGTATGACTCAACAGTCATATTTTGAATGAAAGTCATATTCAACATCTATCAGTAAGTGTTCCTACAGTTAGTGTGAGCATGACCTCTATTGGCATGTGTCCGGTCATGGCAGCAGTTCCTTTTTGCATCATGTCACAAAAACAGTGTTAAACAGTTCTTCAAAGACTCCAGTTCAAAAAGTGCCATCAGGTGACTGCTGCCAAGGAGAACAGTTGCTTCTTACAGGAAAAGAGGCACACATGCTGACAAAGGACAAAAGAGACTCTTTAGATATAAAGACAGTTATTGCCTGACTCTGCTTTTCTGGCACAACTTTCCTGTTTTGGTTCACTCTCACTGCTCCCATCAGCATTTGTTTCGGACACAGCAGGCAGATTCTTTTCAAAAAAGCTCCAAAAACCCATTGTACACTGGCTACTCAGCACCAAACAGTAGCTGGTGAACATAGTGGAGCATTTAGCAGCTAAAGAGGCATACATTTTCCTCAGTGCTGGAGTTGGTAGAGAGCAAAACGGTCATTGAACAGAGTTCGATCATCAGGCTGGCGCAAATGCAACTCCAAATGAATGATGTCTCTCCATTTCTGCTGGATGTGTGTAAATAGACAATGGTTTGCTAACAAATTCCCTGTATCAACGTAAATTAGGTATTTATGTACAGTCTATGGTTTTCATCATACAGTATTTCTGATGCACCCAAGTGGCCAAAATGAGTCACTGCAGTTTTAATATCTAAAGTGTAACTCAAAGTGTCTGATAAAAACCTAAAGTTGGAGGTGCTCTGTTGGCCTATGGAGGACCCATCTCTCTCATTTTCTGTCAGCCTTTTGCTGACCAACTGTCTAATCTCTAAAATCGGAAAAATACATCAAATAAAAAAGTTAAAGGAGAAAAGAGATCATCATCACTCGTGAGAAAGAGTCAGAGTGACAGATTACAATGTTGTTGTTTAATCTTGCTCTTATTTATAGTCTATTCTTTTTAATGCAATAAGTGGAATTTTCAGGGACTGAACTTGATCTTTTCTCGAGAGACAGTAGTGTAAGCTTTCCATCCATCCATGCATCGTCAACCGCTTATCCTGCGTACAGGGTCGCGGGGGGCTGGAGCCAATCCCAGCTGGCATAGGCGAAAGGCGGGGTACACCCTGGACAGGTCGCCAGTCCATCACAGGGCCACACATAGACGAACAACCACTCACGCTCATACTCACACCTAAGGACAATTTAGGGTCACCAATCAACCTAGGCCGCATGTCTTTGGATGGTGGGAGGAAGCCGGAGAACCCACGCAGACATGGGGAGAACATGTAAACTGTAAGCGTTCCACCCACACCAAATCTTTCTTGTATTTGCAATGCAATATTGCTCTCTGGTGGTGACTTCAAAAACCTTTGGATTAGAAATGTAAACAGGCTTGTTCATAGTGTTTATCTTCTTTTCAGCTTTAACGTTCTGCATACACATAAATAATAGTCATAACAAATATTTTATTTTAAAGAAATGATTTGTATTATGAGTGACACTTTGATGGTAGCCTTTAAATAACATTGGATCAATGCTGTAAAATTCTTATCAGCCTTATTATAAAAAGACAGACAAACCCAAATTAATACAATCAAAGTAAAATCTCAAATTGCAGTATTTATCAGAGCTTCAAGACAAACTGAATGGCAAATAAATGCGAAATAACAATGTGACGCAATAACATGAAGGAGCCACCAGAGGTCCATGTGTCACAACAAAAAGGGCACTCAATGATGTGTGCACACATTTCAAAAAACTATTCTGGATGAAATCACTGTATCACTAATGTCACAGCTCCAAAAGAACATTTATTTAGATTGCAAATGCTAAATAAAACATTCTGGGATGTTTGATAATTGTGCAACTAAAGCACATACCAAACATACAAAATGCATTACAAAGTACAATTTTAAAACTTTACATGATAGCCTTATACCTTAATTGACCTTCATGGTGCCACAAGAAAGTAAATCCGCAAACCACCACTTTGTGTTTGTTGAAAGTACTCTGACATAACATTATAGCACACATTTGCCATTTCCCCAGAAAGCACGACCAATTTAGCCAGGAGAGATACTT